GCACACACCAGACTCCCTTTTCAATTATGCAACAGTTTGGCGGGGGGGGGGGGGAAATTACTCACAAAGGCCTCAAGGAATCTCCCTTCTTTCTCATGACATAAGAAACGCGGGAGACAAAGAAGACCAAGAATGACTCCATGTTTTCTGGAGGACCTCGGAACTAAGCTACACACAAGCGGGGAGGGGGATGGAGGCAGGCCAGGATTAAAAAAAAAATGGGTTGCTGTTAATTTTCTATGAAGAGAGGAAGGCTAATGAATTGCACACACAGCCAAGAGTTTCCCTTCCCTGCCACCATCTTCCTGGAATTATCATCAGAAGCTACTCTTAGATGCCATGGAGGGACCTTAGAACAAGGGGAGGGAGCGCTTTCATTTCCACCAGCTTGCAGCCCTCCTAAACCTTGACTTTTGTTCCTGAACCTCATCCAGCACTCCCCACCAACCTGCAAATTTGCAAAATGCCAGAAGAGGTGGTGTGTGTGTGTGTGAGAGAGGGAGATGACCCAGGGTGTGGCACAAAGGCAACACAACCAGATAATAAGTAGGAGTCCCTTTATTAGCTCCAGCTTTGCCCCCAATTGTCCTGGTTACCTTCTGGCTGGAGAAAAACTCTCCCGGGAACAGCCTTTGGCTCCAGAGAATCAAGTCCAAAACATGGTCAACAAAAACTATAACTATAAGTCCAATCAAGGAAAGAGGAGGTAATTAATCTGGTGGGGCAAGAGAAGGAATTCCAGATGTGAAGGAATGTCAGTAAATCAACCCAGTTGGGAGGATGCCAGAAATGCAGATAACCACAGTCAACACAAGATAAGATCACATTTGTTCCCAAGCACATGCCACACTCAGCTTGTATCTTTTTAAACTCTCTTCCCAGGTGTGGCTAATGAAGGGAATCAGGGCCCTTTCCTCTCCTGTAAGCCATGCAACCCACGTTGCTCTCTTCTCCGTTCCTCCCTACGTGCTCTAGGATGAAGAGGGGGTGGGCCTGGGTCTTCCTCTGAATTCCCTCTCCCTTGCTTTACCTCTCCCCTGCTCTGCCCAGCCGGACTTTGCCCTTCCCCAGTTTCCTCCACAGCCAACGCAGCCACACTCCTGCTCCCTGTCAGCTCTTTGTCTTCCTCCTCGGATTCAGACTCCGACAGGGGCATGACTCTGTGTGTGTGCGTGTGTGTTTGTGTGTGTGTGGATTAAATGCATAGAGTTAAATGCTTGTTTAACTCTATTAACTCTAAAGTAAATACAGGTTGTCCTCGACTTATGACCACAATGGAGCCCAGCATTTATTGTGCTAAGTAAGACAGCGGTTCAGTGAGCTTTGCTTTGCCCCCTTGTACGACCTTTCTGGCCACCTTTGTTAAAGTGAATCATGGCAATTGTTCAATTAGGAACACAGTTGTTAAGGGAATCTGGTTTCCCCACCGACTTTGCTCACAAGAAGGTCGCAAAAAGGGGAATCCCATGACCCCACCCCCCACCCCCAGGATGCTGCGACCATCATAAATAGGAGTCAATGGCCAAGGATAAGAATTTGGATCAGGTGACCGTGGGGGTACTACAACGGTGGTAAGTATAAAAAACAGCCATCACTTTCTTTCAGTGCTGTTGTAACTTCAAGCAGTCACTAAATGAACTTCTGTAAGTCACGGACTACCTGAATGAACTCTTGTTCAGTCTCTACATGTGTTGTTGTTCTCTGGCAGCCAGTGCAGACGGCAGCAGAATCGGACAGTGGGGAAGAACAGGGAGCAGTCTGGGAGTCTGGAGAGGACTCAGACGAGGATCCTGCATCCAATGAAGAGATGGGGCCAGGACCATCTGGGAGTGGGGTGCTGCCTCCGGAGCCTCCAGAGTCTGGCAGCAGCAAGGCAGAGGAACCAGGGGAGCCTGTTCCCAGTGCATGTGTGTGCAGAGCTGCTAGAAGGCAAGAGCATCTAAGACAAAAGGGGCGACTCAGGAGTAAGGCTTGGAAGTGATTGCCCCTCCCGTAAGATATAAAGGAGGTGCAAAGGTAAAGAAACCTTTGCAGGAAGCAAAGTCGTTTGCTCTGTTTGGATTAAACCTTGAAGCTCTGTGTGGACTTTGTACTTTGGTTGGGTTTTTTTTTCCACTTAATTTGGCACTTTAGTTGTTGGCAACAATTCAAAGGAGAGAAAGGTGGGTGCTTATCTCGAGGGACTTTTGGGGACTCATTACAGGTTGGGAATGAACATAATTCCCAGCATTGAAATAAAACAAGAATTGTTTGGACTAAGCACGTGCTTAACTATGGTCTCAGGAAACCTTGGTCAGAACAGCATACTTCTTTTGCCTGCCTCACAAACCTTAAGATAGAAGTCGAAGATCTCCCATTCAGGAGTCTGTGTTCCTTGCTTTAAAGAGGATTTCCCACACTTAGTGTATAACGTACAGGAATTCAGACAGAGCCTACCTTCAGAACCAGAATGAAAACCAATTCAACCGCCCCTTAGCCCGATTCACTGGCAAATATTTAGAATGCAGAAATTAAAGTTTTATGTCCATTAGCTAATCACACTCAGCCTCCACGAAACCTGTTAGGGATAAAATTATTGAATTGTATATTTTCTCTCAGTGGTGATTTTCTGCTGCCCAGCAGTGAATAAGGGAAAACAGAGATGCAAACATTTAGTCATGATTCGGACATAAGTAAAATATTTCTTATTTAAAAAAAAAACAGGTGCCGAGGGGATGAGGGGACATGGGGTCACATTCTTATTCCATCCTCTGTGCTATGAAAAGACCATATTTTGATTCCCCCCCCAAAGTTAGTTTTGGAGATATTATCAAGTCTTTGTCAAAGGAGAACTACCGTCCGGTGGAATTCAGTTTGTATGTGCTCAGAAATAACATGTATCTCTTGATCTGTTCAAGTTCACTCCCACCGAGTAAAATCTAGAGAGGTGGTCTGAAATTGTATTTCCAGAATTCTCTTTGTGTCTTATTCTCTCATGCAGCAAATAACTATTAGATGTTTTCTGGCTGACCTAGTTTGTGGTAATGACACCCTACCCCACCAAATTAAAAGTTCAGAACAAACTTTGTGAAGGATTTTTTTTTTTTTTACATACAGAATCCAAAGGGATCGTATATTGTATTGAAACGATGTGTTTGAGATGGATGTTTTGGAGGTGCCCACCACAGCAGTTTGCTGAGAAAATACACTTATAGAAATTCTGTATGCACCAGGGAGTGAAAGGTAGAAGAGGGTGCATTTGTGAACACCCATGGAACTATGTCTTCCTTTATACTGATGGCATGCTATAAAAGTCTCTATGGAGACTGAAATCCAAATATCACAAATTGTGCAATCACGAAATCTTTTGGACACCAGTATCCTAAAGGCAAAACACAGCAGATGGCGACACTTAGTTAACCTGGCCAATCTCCCAAAAGCTAAGCAGGGTTGTATCTGATTAGTAACCTGGGTAGAAGACCACCAGACCACCCAAAAAGCTGGGAAGGAAAATAATAATAATAATAATAATAATAATAATAATAATAATAATAATAA